AATTCGGATTTGTTCTGCATATAATCATACATTGTTAGTGCCAATTGCTATCCTCACTTTCTCGGCCCCGCGCAATGCGCGGGGGGCTGACTAGTTTGTTCTAGAGCTAGACGCCTCTGGCAGGCTTGCCGTAGTTCTTTTCCTCTACGGTACTAGTAGTACAGTCCACGTAAGATACAGCGTATCGGCCATATCGGACAATTGATCCTGTGATCTTTTCCTCTATGATACTAATGCACCAAGTTTTCTTCGCTTGATCCACCCAGAAAAACGTCCCCCGCTGAGATGGCCATCCTAAATGCACCCTAAAAATTGTACACACAAAACCAATCACATCCGAATCAACCGCCCAGATCTGTCCTCAATATTCTCTCTCATTACTCACGCACGATCCAACGATCAGCATATTTTGTATGGTATTCCTCCTCCCCCTCCATGTGTCGCGGAAAAAGGAATATTGACGCGAGAAAAATTGACGCACGAGAAATCCACGGCTCTTTCCACGCGGAGTCCGCCTCCGCTCGATCTCCTGCCTCCGCACCTACGAAGCCTCGCCGCAGCACGTACGTTGCCTCCGCATACGTTGCTCATCCCTCCTCCATTCCGGTGCTCATCCTTCCTACGTGATTCCCCGCCGCCTCCGTCGTGGACGTGCAGGCCGGCTCCATCATCGACGTGCAAGCTGGGCGATCTCGATCGTGGGCAGCAAAAGTCCGGGCGGGTCTTTACAACGGTGGCCGCAGCTTCCAAGACGTGGCACCAGTAACGCGAAATCCGCGGGAGCAGGCCGAGCAGGACACGACCTCGAAGATTGATCTCTCAAGATCAGCGATCCCAGCGGGCTCTCTGAGGGACTCGCAAACGACGGCGGCCGCGGCGACCAAGATGCGCCACCAGTGACGTGAAGACCGCCGCGATCAGCCGAGGAGGACGCGGGGAACATGTACCACACTACCACGGCACATTCAAAACAGACGACCATCACGGCGACCAAGGTTATGTTTCAAATCAATCTGTGAAGTTCCTGTCATATGGAGGTGTTGCCGCTTCTCTGATGATCCAAATGTTGGCTGCCTGGACCAAACAAACTAGCAGTAAGATTGTTTATACATGTCATACTTAAATTATGTAATTGTATAATTATCAGAAAATAACTCATTTTGGACGAGATCCACGGTGTTGTCCCAAGATTGACAAGGCATACCAAGATCAATTAAAAAAAGTATTTGAGTGCTGGCCGGAAAAGCAGTACGACATTAAAGAATGTAGCAATGTAAGTTGTGTTTTGTGTATTACTTTAAAACCTTTTAAATTATTTACGACTTACGGTCTGTGTGTTTATTTATAGATTCTACTACCATATTATCAAGACGGTCCATACACTTTATTCATAATTTACATGCAAAAAATAATCGTGCATATTATGGATCCACTTCAAGATCATGTATGCTTGAAGGGTTATGATCAGAGAGATTCATATATACCTACATTACACACTATTGCTAGAAGGTTCAATCTTGCCGTGGGATTGTTAAATTATAAGATGAACGACAATATTTATCACTGGAAGCGAGAATACCCTACGTGTGTAACAAAGGTTACACATAATAAACACTGGTAATCACTTGTAATATATTTCAACTTTCATATCACAGAAATAGTTATTTGATCTATGTACATCAAATAAACAATTGATCTTCTGCAGGAATTTATGAGGCTTTCTTGTATACAGTTTCATGAAGTCATGGGATGGCATAAGATTGCCACCGATCAACAATGTAAGCATGTATAGTACATAACTAAGTTTCATAAACTACATTGAAAAATAATAACTTATTTATTGTTATCTGCCATGCACAGCTACCAACTTCTCTGAGGAGGGAATTCTTGGCCGATATTTTGACGAGTAATGCAAAAGAATGTAGCGACAACATCCCTGATAATCTGCAATACATGATTAAGGAGTTAGGTAGAATCTAACTTTACAATGTGCACTTATATGAAAAGTGTTCCCAAATTATATATAGACCCAAATACAATTGTTGTGTAATAGTAATATTATGAAGAATAAATTGGTTATAATTATGAGCATCCCAAGATTAAAACTGTAGCGTTAGTATGGGCATTATACTAGTACATTATTAGCGCCAATTGCTATCCTCCCTTACTCTCGGCCCCGCGTAATGCGCGGGGGGCTGACTAGTTTGTTCTAGAGCTAGACGCCTCTGGCAGGCTTGCCGTAGTTCTTTTCCTCTACGGTACTAGTAGTACAGTCCACGTAAGATACAGCGTATCGGCCATATCGGACAATTGATCCTGTGTTCGAGTCTTGTTGGACGCATGTTTCATAAATCAGAGTTTTTTCTCATTTCTTTTTAGAAATGATTCTATGCTAAATTATAACCACTTCATGGAATCGAAAAAACGAGAATCGGTTCTAAGTCATTCTTCTTGAAACATAAGGTTCTTCTATCTGTTCTAACTTCTAATGGCAATCCAACTCGTGACTCGTGAGTCTCAGGGCTATCATATCTAATGGGTGTGGGTGTGGGTGTGGGTGTGGGTGCAAAATGTTACCTGAAGGCAAGGGTGCAAGTAAGAATTTTTACCTGTTATATGCAACTCATCGCGACTGGGTATTACTCCATCAATATGTTACCTGACCCGTCACCGTTCCCCATCAAAAACTATTCATTCATCATCATGTTCTTATGCAACCCAACAATTCAAATTAATAAATAGAAAACAAAGGCCTAGGCTGCAAATTTGTCATGATGCGCTATCTGTGACCTATGCCAACTTAGCTAGCTATTTGATCTTGAACAGATGGCTCTCAAGAAGCAATAAACATAGTCATCACACTATGTAAAAACTCCACATTACATACGTGTGTTAACGCACATCACAAACGTTCTTTTAAGCGTATGTAATGACGTGTCTGTAATAAGGGATACTTAAACTAATCTAAATCATTAGGTGCTTGTAACACAATCGTCGAATGGATAGCATGTGACATTCTTGATGTTTGTCTTTTGTCTCCCCAATTGTGGGCAACAAAGTATTAGCGGAGCGCCCACTACAATGTGGTGAGGTAGCTGCTCTAGCTTGCTGTGACAGGACACCTCTTTCCTCTTCTCATAACGGCCATGTCCTACCCATTGCCCATCACCATGGGTGGCGTAAAGCTTTTGTAGTGCTTGATTTTAGAAGAGGAAGAAAGGAATCGCGAAGAGGTATGGGCCAACACCTAATTGGCTTTACTATCGCTCAAACACTTACTAATAGAAAGGCGATGAAAAAGTCTCTTTTACTCCCTTATCTATTGCTATTGTCTGTTTTTATTTTTCAAACTATAAAATAAGAAATTTTACCCACTCAACTCTAAAAATGTTTAAATTACCTCCCTACCTAGGTTAGAATTGGTTTTCAAGGTTGTTCTATCTTTCTTAGTTTAAAAATCTAGTAAATATCTAATAAGTTTTTAATCCACAAAAAAAAATCTCTAAACTTCTAGGAGTTTTGAAAAAAAAATCCTAGAGATAGACTGGGCACAAGAAATCCAAATAAAATACATAGAGCTCACGAAAATATCTCTAGAAGTTTCCAAAAACTAGATTTAATTATAGGAAAATAGAAAAATATCTAGAGAATATAAAAAATTCTAAAACATTCTAATTGATGTCTAATGCATCCTAAAATATTTAAAGAACAAAAATACGAGATGCAACCAGCAAGAATGCAACATACATTTAACACAAAATGCATTCATGCTAGTTGCGTCTTGTGTGTTTATTGTGGAGAGTTTCAAAGCTGTTTAGACATGAATTAGAATACCTTGGAAATTTTCTATATTTTTCTAGATATCTTTTTCGCATTTGCTATACCTAGATCTAAACTCTGCAAGCTTTTAGGTATACTTTCAAGTACTCAAAACATTTCATTTTTGTTTGTAGTATCCTAATCTATCTCTAGGATTTTTCTCATAGTAGATTAGAGACATTTTCTGCGATTATAAAACTTAACATGTATCAACCATATTGTTTAGTAGATATTTACCATATTTATTAGTGATATTTTTTTTTAAAAAACAAAGATCGAGGAGGAGAATCACACAGAACGACAGTCTTCCAAAAAGGCAGCCAACCCAATTGTGTTTGTCTGCCTTTGGTCCGGCCCAATTGTTGGACAACAGCGTCAAGCTCAAAAGGTGAAAAAGGCCCAAATGATTAATTCTTCATCTCTCGAGCTCCCGGTGTGCGACTCACTTGCTCCTTCCCGTCGGCTTCCGCCGGCCGCTGAGGCTTGAGGCCACGCGCTGCCGCTGCGCCTTAGTCGGAGTCGGAGCTGCACGTACTGTTTGCTGCCTGCGTGCGCCGGGCTGGCCTGCTTGGCTGCCATTGACGGGGATGGAGAGGAGAGGAGCAGCGCTAGCTAGCCTGCGGCACTGTATTGGGTTCGTTCGTGCTAGTACTACTTGGTACTTGGTAGGTAGATGCACGGTAATAATAATCAATTGGTACAAACGACGGCACACATGCCAGTTTTAGGGGAAATGAGATGTCATGGGTGATGATGGCCACCGTTGGCCTAAACACAAGAAAGCTCTCCCATGTGATTGCTTGGACGACGACACCTGGTATATGTATGTGAGTATATAAAATATATTTGTTCTCAGCTTTGTTAAAAAGGATAGAGCTTACATTAATTAATAATACAATTCCTTGCACACACACACACAAGACACGCTTATATAATAATAGTCTCTCACACACTGGACGCTTACACATTCCAAATCGAAGAGTAAGTACTCTACTTAGTAGACTAGTACACTTACACGCGGAGATTAATTAGATACGTATATATACGATCAGCTATCTGGAATGTATATTTAATTTGGAAGAAAAGAAAAAGAAAAGAGAAAAAGAAGAAAGCGCGGTGTACACACGCATTTGCTTATATATATGGCTATATATATAGGAGGTTGCGGCATATGGAGTATATCATGAGGTGAGATGGGTGGCGGATGCGAGCGCCACCGCCTGCGCCCACACCTTGAGCCGAGCCTTCACGTCCATCGGATCCGCTCCTCCTCCTGTAATAAACGTAAAACGTCCATTTACACAAAGGGGATAAATTAATTAAAACAGAGTTATTATATATATATATATATATATATATATATATATATATATATATATATATATATATATATGCGTTCCATACAGGCAACTAATTGATGGCGAGTAGTAGTAATAATAACCATGCATAGCATTCTCAAAAAAAAATGCATAGCTATATCTCTATCGTCTCAAAAAAAAACATGATGGTGGCGATAGCCGGCCGGCTCGCCGGACCGGTGCGGGAACGTGGTTTATGATGATAGATTAGCAGCTGGATGGCGACCGTAATAACGTACCTGCAGTCGATGGGAGTCGGAGAGAATATATTTATGAAAATGGAGTGGTCGTCCCTGTCAGGGATGGATTTAATTTGCCACGACGCAGGGGAAAAGCAAAGGTAGGTGTGGTTAAGCAGATGAGATATATAGTGATCAAAGGTAGGTGGCAAAGGCAGGGGAAAAGAAAGGTAGGTGGGAATAGCAATCAGCTCGAGTAGTCTGTAGTCATCATCATAATTGACCTAATCCTCTCCCTAATTAATGGAGTCCTGCAGCCAGCCCAGAAGTGCCCTTGCTGACCCGGCAGAGAACTCCTCGTCGTCGTCCTGCTGCCATGCCATGCCCGCCATGCAAGGTACCAGAAGCTTAGCTATTATTAAGGAACTTTAATTTAGTGTTTATTCTTCTACCAAAGTACAAAAGGAAGCCATGTCACCAAACTCCATACTAATAAAATTTTCTTCGCTTCAGTGTTTTAACTTCTGTCATGCTGCTAATACGGCTCCTATTATATTAAGCACTTCTGCTATTTTCCAGGTGCCTGAACTTTAATTCGATTTCAGAGAACACTCTTGTGCCACCAATTAGTACACGTAAATTACTATTTTTGTTATTTGTTATTTGTCTTTGTGTCATAACATATTAAATTTTTGTCCTGATCTGACTACAGAAATAGTTGTAAATTTTTAATTGTCTTTGTGCCAACACAAACTAGATTTTGTCAGGTCTGTAGTTTTGTCTAACATGTTTTTTATTCTAGGAACCGAAAATTATAGATTGTGTCTACAGAAATTGCAATGAACTAAAAGTGCAATTTCAGTACAAAGCATATATAATAGCCGTCGTCTAAAGGAAGCTAAAATTCAGTCCCTATATTAAGGCCCTGTTTGGATCTATATAGATAGTAGTTATATGCTAATAATTATCTTTTATGGATCCAAACATGTATAAATAATAGACTAGCTAATTGTTAGCTTGAGCTTTAGATAACAACTATCCCACTAATTGGACCAAATCAGATAACGAGCTATTAGCCACCTAACTATAATCAGATAATAAATCCAAACAGGGCCTAAACACTACAATATTAGTACTTCCTCCGTCCACAAAAGAATGTAATTATAGGATCCGTGTCGGTCAAATTAACTCAAGTTTAATAAAGTTTATAGTAAATAATAGTAGCATTTATATCTTCGAATAAATTTATTATGAAAATATATTCTATTACTAATCTAATAGGTACTTATTTTGTATCATGAATATTATTAATTTTTATATAAATTTATTCAAAGTTTAAACTGTTTGACTCCTCAAAAAGCGAGATGCATGACCAACAACTTTCTCTACCTGCTGTCGTCTTTCGTTCTTCCAAATAGCCACGCTAAAAGTATTATTGCTTATTCTTTGCAGCGATGATACAAATTCTAAACTAGCACCTTTGCGCAAATGTATTGTACCTCTTCTATTTCTTTCTCTCGTCCTTGAACCTTCTTAGATACTATGTGCGCCATATGTATAGTAGTACTACTAGCTATATACATCAGGGACGTCAAGAAACGCGATTACTATTGTTGTTCTTGGATTTTAATATGGAAAAAAACACCTTAAATTTGAAGTATATATATTCTAGTATGTGATCAATTCATTTCTAGCACGTTTCAGTTTCAGAATAAATGATCAATAGACGGTGCTATGGTAGTACTCCGTCCGTCCTAAATTATCCGTCGCTTTTGATTTCTATACCATAAGTTTGACTTGATTTGTAGAAAATATGTGCAACATTTGTGTCTTCAAATAAATTTATTAAAAAACTAGATTCAAAGATCTTTCTAATAATATCAATTTTGTACTATAAATATTAATATTTTTTAATATATATTTTGTTAAAGTTATTTATCGAGAAACAAAAATGACATATATTTTAGTACCGAGGAGTACATACCAGGAGGACTGGAGAGGGCGCAGGGTGAGTCGGCGCCGCTGCCGGGGGTGGTGCAGTGGGTGGGGCTGCTGCCGCCGGACAGCCCGTAGCACTGGATCTCCACGGTGCAGTCGGAAGGCAGGTCCAGCCCGAGGTCCCGGCACGCGCGGACCTCCTCCACGTCCATGGCCACCCCGCCGCCCGACGCCATGCCCTGATGCTGCTGGCCAGAGTAATGGGACGACGACGAAGACACCCTGGGCGACGTCCCCACCACCACCACCACGGGGGTGTCCGCGTCGGGGGCGCCGCCGTTCCGCTGGTGCCAGCTCCGCTTCATCTCCCACGCGCGGTCCAGCCACGCCTCCCGCGCCGCGCGCTCCCGCCGCACCACGCTGAAGCTGCTCCGCCTCTGCATCTGCTGCTGCTGATGATGCTGATGCTGCGCCCCGCCGCCACGGAAGAGCCACGTCCACTGTTCGTCGCTGTCGTCGTGCTCCTGCTGCTGCTTCTGCTCCTGCTGCTTCCTCGTGTCCTCGATCGCCAGCCACGCGTGCGGCGGCGGCAGCGTCTGCGCGCTAGCCGTGAACGAGCGCCGGAACCGCGGCTCCCCCGCCCCCGCGTCGGCCTCGTGGTGATGCCCGTTCCCTGCTGGCCTGGCGACGCCACCGCTGCCGATGTCCAAGACGCCCTGGCGGCGTGCGGCGGCCTTGCCGTTGGCGTCGCCTCCTCCTCCCTCGACGGCCAGGCGAGACACCCGCTTGCTCACCTCCCTCGCCACCACGGCGGCGCAGCCAACAAGGTCGTCAAGCTGCTGCTGCTGCTGTTGCTGCTCATCCTCCTCGCCGTCGACGATGAGGCTGGCCCGCTGCTCCGTCGTAGCGCTCGCCATGCCTGACCTGATCACCTGCCAGATAGTCAAACTAGCTAGCTAGCTAGGTGGCTCGTCCGGTTTGGATCGCGAGGATCGCGGAAGAGAAGAAGTGGTGCAGGTGAGAATAGTAGCTGGAGAGCGAGCGAACGATCAGTGGTTGGGTGGGAAGCGCAGGCTGGTGAGGCAGGGTGTATATAATATATACCTGGCTCCGGGCTCCGGCAGTGCGCGTAGTGGAGGGTGAGGTGACCGGCGATGGCGACGGCCGGGGGAACCGGTGGCGCGACACATGGACTGGACGTGGACGACGGCCAAATGGAGACGGAGATATGCCACCATGCCATGCAGCTGCAGATAGGTTTGTGCGTGACGTTGGGCGTCGCTAGCTGTCCCTCTCTCCCTCTGCATGGCATGGTGGCATGGCAGGCATGGCAAGGAGTGTATCAACAGTGCCCTGTTCAATCAGGCGTACGTGCAGGTCTCCTGTCACCAGCAGGGCGTAATGAATTCAGGATGCATGTGACCGCCCGCATCGGACTGTCTTCGACCACCCTCGCTCAAAATACAAAATTCATTCTACTGTTACAAAAGGTTTAATACTTATTTTTGGTCTTGTCTTCTCCAACAACAAGATTCAAAAGATAATCATTTCTACAAATAGGTTTCTAGGACAAAGGTTATTCAGATTTCGGTTATGCCTCTCCTGACATCCAAAATGGGTCTTTCTATATAGGTACTCTGTTGAAGACTATAGTTATTGTGTTAAAGACTCATTTTAGATTTGGGTTCCATAATGGATCTCCGGAGACAGGCTAATTTAGAATTCAGGAGTATATATATAGTTGTACTATATCTGTTAGGATAGGTGTTTGTTTCCTATTATTGTGTTTATACATCTGCTGTTGTGTTGAATGTTGACATGCATGCATCCGGCCATGCATGGATGGGCAGCCTTCATTTTGTGACATACTTGTTGATGGCCATCTCAATCCTCGGATGTTCACTACGTCAGATATGGTTTTTTTGGACGGTTAATAAGCATTTGTAGGGATGGTTCGGTCAGCCACCCCTACTATACCGTCTCTATAAATCATGTATTTATAGGGGCGGTTCCCAGACCGTCCCTATAAATACCATACCGTCTCTACAAATCATGCATTTATAGGGGCGGTGGGCGGTTGGTACTGTAGCCGCCCCTACAAATCGATTTATAGGGGCGGTCTGGGAACACCAGCCGCCCCTACAAATCGATTTGTAGGGGCGACTACAGTACCAACCGCCCCTACAAATCATTTTTTCGCCAAAAAAAATTTAAATTTACAATTCAAATTCGACCACAACATATATTTTTCATGCACAACTCCATCATGACTTATCTTCTTCTGCGATTATACTGAAACTCAATGACAATACATATTTATTTATACCAGATTATAACAAATATTCCATGACAATACACGGTGCAAATTATTGTGCTTGTTGTTCATTTAAACTATGAGACTGCACATAGGTATATGAAAAGTAACGTGAAAACCAATCTTCGCTCGATGCAAGTAACACAAGAGAGAACAAGACACACCCAGGCAGACTGAACAGAGAATCTGAGCATGTAAATTTGAAGTCTGGTATATGTTTTGAAGCTAACTGACTTGAGCTTCTGGTAGTTACAATTCATACTTTGATTCATATATGCCTACCAACTTCTAAAAAATAACTGATGTAACGAAATTTATAGCTAGAAATGGAGGACTTGGGTGTTCACCTCCATCACCAAATGGCATGAGGACTCCTTGCCTGTGGCAAGGCAAGCAAGGGCTACCACTGCGACTGCCATAGTCGAGGGTCAGAATGAGAGCTACTTATGGTTCCGAAGTGAGAGGAAGGCCAGGTAGTTTGCCAGGTCCGCTATCCTGTCATCAGCATTTGCGCATTGAGCTTAACAGAAACAAGGAAAAGGAATAGGAAAAGAAAAAATGATCTGGAGAACAAAGGACATGCTCAAGTGCAATTTCAGCTAAATATATTTCTCTGACATGTCTTCCAAATGCGAATTGTAGTAATACATATCAAATCAAATATAAAAAATATCAAGTCAACTAAAAAATGCTAACTAGTATGCTCAATGCCTTTATCATAGATAACAGCACAATCAGGAAACCCAAATTTATGTCCCGGAAAAAGAAACTTCTGAAATATTCACCTTATGAACACTTCTAAACGCAAGCTGCACAGATACCAAGTATTGGAAGGAACAAATGACAGATGGTTTCGCTTAAAAAACAAACAAATGACAGATGGAAATGCATGTAAACCATTGCCACATGCAGATACGGTTCAGATTCATAATATGATTCAACGGTAAAATAGTTCTACTAAATCAAACCATCTCATCCTATGGCATTGAGACTTCCAGACACATTTAGGAAGTGATCTAATAAACATTCTTTAGTTTGATCATTCAATAATGTATGTTCATGATGCCAGCCCTTTCTTAGTTCTATGTGACTCATAATTAGCATCCTATGAATAAGCATTGTACCCTGTGTAGCCCATCTCTCTTCCTCTACAAGTCAACAGGTTTCCTCCCATTCCTGAGCACTAAAATAATCCCACACTTGCTTCTGGCATCTATATCACAACTTCCTCTGTCATTACATGATAACAGACACTACTCCATCCATTTCCCTACAGCTTGAGTATGCCCATCTTCTAGCTAATTAAAGTTTAGCAAGCCCATCTTCTACAGTTTAGCATGCCCATCTTCTCCCATCTACAGCTTCTTACCTAGGAATTTTTATTCGTGGTTAGGATTCGAGATACTACAAGATGAGTTTCTGTGTTCCCTGAAGAATCTTTTTTTAGGGAATATAGGACTGTTAGAAACTTGAGAGCAATCTATAATGGGTGCATCTATTCCAACTATCACACTATATAAAATAAGTTTCAAATAATTGTACAACTCAAGTATAATATCAAGAACATAAGGACGCCCTAGCCTCACTCAGGTATAAGACCAAGAACATAAGGACAACTCCAAGCGCAGCGATGATGAACAAGGGCACCAGGATCAACCACACTGGCCCCGCCCAGATTTGCTACAATCTGTAAAACAACTCAAGAGACACAAGCACAATCCAAATGGAAACACAAGGTACACAGTACTGTAACTGCAATCCCAAACGGAAAATGTATACCTTGTGCCCATTTCATCGAACATGTTGAGGGCATCATCCATAGAAGCGTCCACACTACCATAATATCTCACTGGCTATATCATCCACCCAAAGTTCTTCAAATTAACCGGGAAAAGGAAGGGCAAGTAAGAAAAGGAGAGGTACATACATCTGATCAGTACCATAATTAACTGCTTGTTGACGGACCTCCTCCAGATCCGTGAGCAGCTGCCGCACGATGGCGCTATACGTGAGGGCGAACAACTCCAGATCGCCGCGTTGTCCCTCCCCTACTTCCGCAGCTGTGAAACCCGAACAAGCAGATCAGAAAGCGAATGGAACGCAATCGAATCGAAGGATAAGGATAAGGAGAGGGATTGTGTGAGCTCACATCGGATTCCTAGATGATCCTCCTGGCCTCGTGGAGGACGGATGGGGAGACGAAGACCTCCAGAACCCTAACTTCGGCCCCGCCGCCGCTGCCTTGGGCGCTGCCTCGGCCTCCACCTCCTCTATGGCGTCCTCCGGCCTCAGCTGCATCGTCAGCGGCCCCTAGACAAGCAGCGACCGCAACCTCTCCACCGCGCGGGAGAGGAGCCGCAGACCAAGAGCGCTGGCGCCCACACCACACGGTGTCGGACGGGGACTCAATGGGGGTACGGCGGCGGAGACGTGGAGGCGCGGCTTCCCGGCGGCGTCGGGAGGCATCGGGAGGTGCCCGGGGGGCAGGGGCGGCGGGGAGGGGCGGCGTGGGGGAGAGACGGAGGGGCTCAGAGGAGAGGGAGAGCGAGGGAGAGAGAGAGGGAGTCGAGACGGAGAGAGAGAGAGAGAGAGAGAGAGAGGGGAGTAGATATTTTGGATGGGTAGTGACTGTACGTGGGGCATTTGTAGGGGCGGCTCAATCACCAGCCGCCCCTATAAATAGAAACACTGAGGCGGCTGGTGAGTGAGCCGCCCTTACAAATTTTAACCATTTGTAGGGGCGGCTCGTATCACCAGCCGCCCCTGCTGTTTTATTTATAGGGGCGGCTGGTCTCGTAGATCCCGAGCACATCACTGTAGGGCGCGGCTCCATCATCAGCCGTCTCTAAAAAAAATTTGTCCCGTTGCTACAAACCGTTTTTCACGTAGTGGTTTTTTCAAGAGGCTAGCAGAGAAAACAATTGGTTGGTCAATGCCGTCGTCAACTGGTAATGCAACCGTATTAATCACGCACTGCAAATCCTATCTATAAAACTAATAAACCAGTTTGACATGTAGGTAGTGAGGAACAAACTTTGTGATGAGTTTACTACTACAGTGCAGCATTCCTTTTCGTTCTCCTTACGTGAAATGTTGTGTGTAGCCTTTTTGTAACAAAAACATGTGCTTGTTCAGTTGATCCCTTTGCTATATATGTAAATGACTTATTTTGTGGATTACCCTAGTAGCCAACAAAAGTTAAGACTATTTGCGGGTTCACGGTTAAACTTGTTTCCATCCCTATAAAAATCGTGAAAATGTTTGAAGATTGAAACTTGAAAACGTTTAGCTCACATCATAGTGTAAAACATATGTGACCTATTAATAAAAGGAATAATGATACAGTGACCTTATATTAGAAAGTATTCTCAAGAGATAATCATTTGTTGTTACAGAGACTATTGCACACATTAAAAGTTTAGAAGAAGAAAAGTTTTATAGCATCTCCAAAGGTTTGGTAAACCTACTTTCAATCTTGTTTTTTTGTATGCTAAAGAAAAAACTCCACTTCAACAACTCATTATCTTAACTCTCAATCTATCTGCACTAGAACAAACAGAGCCATTGATCTGAAAAATACACGGACGGCTGATACTCGCTATC